CCCCACAAGCGGCCAGATCTCAGATTAAGCTCCATCCATCCATTGTCCAGCCGGTTAATGTGTTAGGAGCACCCGTGGCGGCTGTGCCTGAGGCTGCTGTGTCCATGACCCGAGACAGGGAGGCGGCGATGGGCAGGCACGGGAGAGGAATTCTCAGCCATGGTGCCACCAACGCCGCTGCCTGCCCAGGGTGCAGAGGCACGCAGCGCTCTCTGTGGAAATCGTCCTGGCAGATGCTGGCAACCGCCTGGGCAGTGGGGGGGACCTCGCGGGGGTCTGGGCATGCGGAGGTGGTGGGATTCATGAAGTCCTTTGGAGTCCAGAACCCCTTTTCTCTAGTGGAGGTTCTTGGACCCCTCAGTGGGCACACTCTGGTTCTGCCCACTGGGCGCAGAGACCTTGCCCATAGCCTGGGGGCCTGTGGGGGACTCGGTGAGGGGTGGTGGGCAGCAGCTTGCACACCCAAATTGGATGCTGTCTCAACTGCTAGGCCGAAGCCTCTTTGGCCTGAAAGCATCCAGTTCAAGGCCCAGCCAGGCACCTCGTGGTCTTTGGTCATTGGTTGGTGAGCACAGACTAACCCCTTTAATGTTTTTCATATTGATGACAGGGTTCACTTTTGGCAAGAATAATTCCAATGCAATAACAAGATGCTTTTTGAAAAGACCCAGGAAGATCCGAGTCCTGGGGGACCAAATGAAAAATTCTCTGGCCACTAAAAGTCTAACAGGCTAGGCAAAGAGCCCTCGGAAACCGACCATTCCTATTCCATCTCCATGTTATGGGAAAGGAGACCAAGGTCTGGAGAGGGCCTAGGCTATGTAAGACTCAGCTCAGGGGGCACCTCCTCCAGGAAGCCTTTCAGGATATGGCCACAGCATTTTCCTAGTGACCACTTTTAGGGTCTGTGCTCTGCTGCTTCCCTGGGTTGCCGGCACCTTGAAGGGATCCCAGGGGGCTGGGTTCAGGTTGACAGGTTTCTGCTTTCCCCCAGGACTGAGAAATAGTTTTCTTTGTCAGCCTTTCTTACAAAAGAGACTAGAACATGGCTGTCCTTCACTGCCATGGTCAGTGTGCTTAACCTCTCTTGTGAGGTGTGCTGTGAGGTTGTCCCTGGGACCCTAGAAGACAGACCCCAAGGCTTCCGAGCATGTATGTGCTTGTCAAGGCAAAGGACACCTGTCCCAACGGGGCAGCTCCATGGGAGTGGCTGGGAGCAACGGGTCCCCCTTGCTATTGGCTCTTAGCAGCAATTTGGGCCGCCTGTGAGGGGCAAGTGGCCCCTCTGCATATCCCATGGTGGGTTCGGAGGCCAGGAGGAACCTCCTGAGGCTGGGTGTGAACACTGCATAAGAGGGGAGTGCTCCTCATAAGATAATTAACCCCACCAGGGGGAGTCTGAACGCCTCCAGGGAGCTCAGAGCAGGGCGCCTGCCTCGGTGGGGGCTGTAACAGCCAAATGCAGGCCCAGGGGCCAGGACCCACCAGCTTGTCACATAGGAGCAGGTGCAACCACCAGCTCACGGAATCCTCTCCTCAGCCCTGACCCTCCAGATCAGCGGCGTGCAAGTGTCTAGCTGCCTTCGGAGCGGAAGTGCCTTCCCCACTCCGCTCTGCTCCGCTCTGGAAGCAGCTGCATTCAGAACAAGCCCTAGAAAGCCGCTGGGCACGGCCCTCGGGGCTCTGAAATCGTGTGTCTTTCGGGAGCTTCCCTGGATGGATGGGGCTGCCGGACTTTCTAGGGAAGCCGTCTGGCCTTGGGAGACTTCCTGCTCCGGTTGCCAACATCTGTCAAGGAGAATTTCTGCCGGAGGCTACCATGCGCGGTTTGCTAAACCTCTACCGCACCATGCAGCGAGGGCTGTTAGACGCCAAGGCCGACGCGCCTGTCCGCAGAATACGCTCGCTCGTTTCACAACCTGGGGCTGGGGCTGGGCTCTGCACAGATCCCCGGAGGGGGCGCGGGCAGGGGCTGAGCACCTGCCAGGAAAGGCGGGCGGAGTTTTCCTTTTTTGTTCCCCTGTGGATGTGGTTTCCTCCCCGGAGGAGGATGCTTCAGGCAGAAGCAATTCACATACAAGCTTTCAGCTATTCAAACAGCTGTCAGTTTGGGAAAGAAATTCCTATCTGGTGGAGAATCTGGGTTCAATCCAGGCCCTGCCAGGGGGTCTCTATGTCCCCCGGTGTCTGTGCGAGTGGGTTTGGCTGGGGTGGGTGAAGCCCGTCCCGAAACCTTGAGGAGACAGCCGTGCCCACTGCCGGCCGCTCCTACACCCGAGCTCTGGGGCAGGTATTCTGCTGACAGGCACATGCGAGGGGCCTTCCTGAGGGTCCCCTCGACGCTCAGGCGGCCGGAAAGTCCCTCCAGCCTTGGCGTTTAACCTGATTTTCACCTGAAATGACTGATATAGTTTTCAGGGCCCGGAGGACTCGGAAGGTGCGTAAAGCTGAGACATTGCCCAGGTCCACAAATTCAGTTGTGTATCTGTAACAAGGGAAACGCACACACACGACACAGTGACGACACGCCAGGAGGAGACACACGGGGGGGG